TAGAGTGCAAAGAATGCCTGGGAGTCAGGGACCTGGTTTCTTTCTAACTCTGCCACTGCATTTGTGCCTTTGAGGATTCACTTATTTTCTCTAAGTTTCTGTTGCCATGCCTCTGTAACATGGCATGGGCGTGGAGTTTAGCGCCACATAAACACTCAGGCCCCTCTCATTACACTCAGTAATTCAGCCATAGTTCTAGATTTTGTTGACTTTTGGGGGGTTCAAGAATATTCCATTCTTCTTTTACTTCCCTCTTATCAAGTGTTTCCACAGCGTTTGCCAAAAGTAATGGCTCAGACAGTAAAGAATCGGCCTGAAATGCAGCAGACCCAGGTTTGCTCCCTGAGTTGGGAAGGTGCCCTGGAGAAGGGAATGGCACCCACTCCAGCACTCTCGCCTGGGAAATCCCCTGGACAGAAGAACCTAGCGGGCAGTAGAGTCAGACGTGACTGAGCAGCTAAGCAGAGAGCCAGCAGAAAGGTGTCAGCAGGTGCGGAGTGAGGGGCGGGGAGAGGTGGGTCAGGGATGGAGCCGAGCTCCGGGCGAGACTGGCTGGCCGTCCGGCGCTGCTGCCCACTCTTCCCCGGTGGCTCGGGGTGAAAACACCAGCCAACTCAGCAGGTGACTGTGGGCTTCGGGATGTCACGAGCCTTCTCACTGTGGGTGCCCCAGCTTTAGTTCTTATGTGGACCGTGTATTTGGTATCCACGTCCGTGACGCATAAAAACAAAATAGCAAAAGACAGGCTCTCCCAGGGCGTCGCTGGTGGTGGAACAGTGAGGCGCCTTCCTGAGGCGCTGTGTCAGGAAACCACGGCACCCTCGGGGAGGGGGAGAAGCGTGTGTACCCTCTTCACCTCTTTTTAAGTGCTGAGCCTCCCCAGAAGATGTGTGTTTTTTTCTAGAAGGAAAAGCCTGCGCTTTTGACAGCAGAACCGAAGTAGAGACATTGAGCTTGACCTACTTCCTTAGCAGTGCAAGCCTTGCATTGTCCTCTCAGGCGCTATGAAAATCCTTGAACTGGGAAACTGACAGCTGCAATCAGACACTTGCATTGAGGGAAACATCATGAATTTTAATGGGAGTGCTGCTCCTGCGTGAGGTTGGGAGAGCAGAGAGCTCCTAGCCAATTCAAACAAAGGGAGCAGGAGGGGGGTTGTTATACCCACAGCTCACAGCAGTGATGAGAGCCAAATTCAAATTATTTATCCCACACGATGTTGATGATTTACCAGGGAAGGACTACAAAATTCTTGTGAAGTGGAAAGGGTTGTGAATCTTCGATGCTTATTAATCCCACTGTACTGAAGGCAGAGGAGGTGGGGNCCAGTGAATGTTCAGGATTGATTTCCTTTAGGATTGACCAATACAGAGAACATGTAAAAAGAATGCTCCTCTTTTTAGAACGTGGTCCTGTCTATCTCTTTATGACTGAGCCTGCCGAGCCACACCCAGACCAGCTGCATTTGTCAGAAGCTCATCTGCTTCAGAGAATGAATGCATTATGAGCCTCTCTGTTCCTGTTACGTGGCTGTGCTTCATTTTAGAAGGGAGGCCTGAGTCTTTATCAGAACGAGAATGTGATCATTTCAGAACCCCGTTTTTCTGTGTAGATCTTGAAATAATTTTTTATAGTGAAGATGGCACTTGAAAAATACATGACAAGCTTTGTTAATCAGGTTCCTCTGTTGGTGAGGTTATTTAGCCTGGGAATAGTTCAGCCAAAGATGGTCCCCTGAGAGGGTGCTGGCTGCCACTCTGTTTATTGGGGAAGGACTGAAGAAAACCTCCACACACTGCACAGAAGCAGCAACTGCCACTCCAAAATGGAATATTAAAGAGGGAGCAAATCTCTTGGTCTGTGAGCAGGTTCTCCTCCTGTAGTAGATAGGGATTGAGATGAGTAAGGTCATCCCTTAGTATCCTCGCCGGGTAAATGGGTTTCAGCACCTGCTCTGGATATCAAAATGCACTGATATTCAATCCCCAAAAGGGGCCTCCACATCCATGGTTCCACATCCTTGGATTCAACCAACCATGGACCGTGGAGCAGTTCTGTAGTATTTAATGAAAAAAAATCTGCCTGTGACTAGATCTGCGCAGTTCACACCTCTGTTCTTCAGACATCAACTGTGTTACTACAATGTAGAATTGGAGCTTAAGTCAGAGCAAAGCCGGACACCTGAGAAATGGAGATGAGGAACGCAGCTACCCTCTACTAACCAGACTGTGAAGGGGGACTCATCCTCAGTCCCCGCCAGGACTCGGCAGTCGCCTAGAGGTGCTGGGGCTGACTCTGTGGGCTATTTGGCCCAGACCTCACATTTGTCAAGGTCTCATATTGAGTCTTTAAAAATATCACTGAATGAGTTTATATACTTGTGCAAATTTGTGCAGAGTCTCTTTAGTCATGTCCGACTCTTTGTGACCCCATGGACTATAGCCCACCATGCTCCTCTGTCCATGGGATTTCCCAGGCAAGAGTACTGGAGTGGGTTGCCATTTCCTTCTCCAGGAATATGCAGTTGTAGTCTTGTGTGTATTTAAATCATTTGCTGCTGCGTGTAGAATATATCATGATTACCTTCACCTGCTTCTGCATTTGTGTTTTAGTAAGTGGAAGTGTTCCTCCCTCCTCAGCCCCTTCCGTGGTCTCTGGGCACACTCTTCCTGCCCACAGCACTCCAAATACTGCGGTGTCCTAGGGGTCCATTTGATACTGGGGTCTTCCCATTTGTTTTTACTGACTGTAAGCTGGGAGTGTTCCCATCAAGTCATTTAAGTTGCTAGATCCTAACCAGCTATGGTGGAAGAGGATAGATAGGTGGGTGGGGTTTATTGTGATAACATTACTTACATTTGGGACCCTGCTGCTGGTCAGATCCTCGCTGCTGTGCAGTCATGCCGCCATCCGCTCACATCTGTTTTCTAAGCCCTCGGTGGTCCATGGCCATCCCTGCCATGTAGTAGTAAAACCGGCCGCCCTGTGAGTCTAAGGCTGCTGGCTCTGGAGTGCCTGCCTCCGCACCACGCAGCCACGCGCTCACACGACGAGCAGCCCCTGTGTGTCTATGCTCAGGCCCAGGGCTGGTGCTCGGGGAGCAGTGTGCAGAGACGTGGACTCAGGCTGCAGCTGCCACATGTTTTCCCCGTCCTCCTCGCTGCTCCAAGCTCGCGCCGACCTACCTAAGTCCCCATCTGGGCGTTCCATCTGTCCTCAGCCACCTGCTTAGGGTTCCAAGGTACCTTGCCACGCCACAAGAAAGTAGGAGTAACTTCTGTTCATATGGAGGAGAAACAAGGCACCAAGACCAAGGCATCTTCCTGGAGAGAGGCTGAGAGGCCTTAATGCTGTGGTGAGGCAGGGTATTCTTTCTAAGTCAGGTATCCAGGTGCCACGATGGATTGGAAGATGGCCAAGAAGGAACGAGGCTCTTCTTTTCAGGCTAAATAACAGCCTCCTTGTTGGGAAGGGAATAATCAATCCCAGCTGGAGCAGAGAGCCCACGTTCCCTTTGCTTTTCCATTCAAATCTAATCTCATGACATGAGTTTCTGACATGAGTAGCATTCTTGCCCAGACTTGTGGCCCCAGGGAGGGGATGGTTATTTAAGACAGCTGGCTCCTCATGCAAGGCATATAACTTGATGATAAATGCTTACAGACAACTTCCCTTACTCGCTGGTCCCAGTCCCCGTTTAATTGACACCCCTGGAGACTTGGGGGAAAAAAATCCAGGCAAGAGTACTGGAGTGGGTTGCCATTTCCTTCTCCAGGAATATGCAGTTGTAGTCTTGTGTGTATTTAAATCATTTGCTGCTGCGTGTAGAATATATCATGATTACCTTCACCTGCTTCTGCATTTGTGTTTTAGTAAGTGGAAGTGTTCCTCCCTCCTCAGCCCCTTCCGTGGTCTCTGGGCACACTCTTCCTGCCCACAGCACTCCAAATACTGCGGTGTCCTAGGGGTCCATTTGATACTGGGGTCTTCCCATTTGTTTCTACTGACTGTAAGCTGGGAGTGTTCCCATCAAGTCATTTAAGTTGCTAGATCCTAACCAGCTATGGTGGAAGAGGATAGATAGGTGGGTGGGGTTTATTGTGATAACATTACTTACATTGGGGACCCTGCTGCTGGTCAGATCCTCGCTGCTGTGCAGTCATGCCGCCATCCGCTCACATCTGTTTTCTAAGCCCTCGGTGGTCCATGGCCATCCCTGCCATGTAGTAGTAAAACCGGCCGCCCTGTGAGTCTAAGGCTGCTGGCTCTGGAGTGCCTGCCTCCGCACCACGCAGCCACGCGCTCACACGACGAGCAGCCCCTGTGTGTCTATGCTCAGGCCCAGGGCTGGTGCTCGGGGAGCAGTGTGCAGAGACGTGGACTCAGGCTGCAGCTGCCACATGTTTTCCCCGTCCTCCTCGCTGCTCCAAGCTCGCGCCGACCTACCTAAGTCCCCATCTGGGCGTTCCATCTGTCCTCAGCCACCTGCTTAGGGTTCCAAGGTACCTTGCCACGCCACAAGAAAGTAGGAGTAACTTCTGTTCATATGGAGGAGAAACAAGGCACCAAGACCAAGGCATCTTCCTGGAGAGAGGCTGAGAGGCCTTAATGCTGTGGTGAGGCAGGGTATTCTTTCTAAGTCAGGTATCCAGGTGCCACGATGGATTGGAAGATGGCCAAGAAGGAACGAGGCTCTTCTTTTCAGGCTAAATAACAGCCTCCTTGTTGGGAAGGGAATAATCAATCCCAGCTGGAGCAGAGAGCCCACGTTCCCTTTGCTTTTCCATTCAAATCTAATCTCATGACATGAGTTTCTGACATGAGTAGCATTCTTGCCCAGACTTGTGGCCCCAGGGAGGGGATGGTTATTTAAGACAGCTGGCTCCTCATGCAAGGCATATAACTTGATGATAAATGCTTACAGACAACTTCCCTTACTCGCTGGTCCCAGTCCCCGTTTAATTGACACCCCTGGAGACTTGGGGGAAAAAAAACCAAACATGGATGTTTCTTTGAAAGAATATCATGTCTCTGGATGCAAGAAAAAGATAAGAAATTCTACAGGCGTACAGCTCATCGGTATTTCCCAGCTTAACGGAATTCTTCAGGGAGGAATTCCTTTTATGCATTCTCTATGAAACAGAAGTTTCCTGTGCCTTTAAAACCTGTCTGGTGTTATAGTGTACAATAAATCCGATGTGTGATTTTGCTTTTTTCTTCCTTCCTTCTGTCTTTCAAAAAGAACTGTTCCTATGAATTAGTAATGTTAAATCTTTTTGCAGGTATTTTTCTCTGAAAGCTAAGATATAGCTCTGTCATGAATAATTTTAAGTTTTAGTAATTAAACAATTCTTTTTTTTCAGAGTTGATTCTCCTTTGGGTCAAAAAACCCTGTTCTTGGAATAATAATTTGGCCCAAATCTCTGGACCTAAATGTCAAACATTTGCTGCACATTCCTTTCTCATAATTGGAGATGAAGTCTGTGGGCAAAAAAGGAATTGACTGACACATCTTTTCTTCCATCTGAGAACTTACTTGGTCACCCTAATGGTTATAATGTACAAACTAAAATGATTAGTCTGAGAAAATAGTCATTTATCTGAAAGATTCTGAGTTTTGAGACTATGTAGGATTTATCTTTGCAATCAAAAGTAATGTTAAGTGGTACATGATGATCAAAGTTTTAAAAGCAAAAACTTTAGGAATGGATCAATGAGCTTAAAAAAAAAAGAATTAATACAAAAAACCAAGACCTGGTTAGATTTTAAGATCAATGCCAACTGAAAAAAGCAAATTGCAGGATGATGTATTTAGTATGCTATAACTTACATAAAATTTTTACAACATATTAAACAAATTCCTGGTTGGAATATTGCTACAAGGTCTAAAAATGTGGCTTGAAAGGACCTAGGCTGAATATATCGTGGTGTTTTTGGGGGGTGGTGGAGAAGAAAGGCAGGCAAGAGGGAGGGGAAATGGGGCTTGGGACCAGGAACAAAAGAGATTTTAACTTAGGTTTTATTTCCAAATATTAAAGGAATCTGAGGCCAACACGACCAAATAACATTTGTTAACTCTGGGTGGGGGGCTGGGCATTATCTGCCTGCAGTACTCTTTGGTCCTAAAATATATTAAATAACCTTAAAATGAAAGAACAGCAAAAGTATTTTTCTTCCTTCATTCTAAAGTTTCAAACCAATGGGAATAGACTTGCACAGTCAACAGACACATGTCTTCTCTGGGGGTTTTGTATTTTTGACAAACTGATGAATCTGACTGCTGGGTATCTTTACTGCTTTAAGTCCTCCAAAACTAAGGACCCCTTCTAACAACAGTGCAAATCTGTTATGTATATGTTAGTGTAACAAGTTCTGGCGGTGTTTGGGGAAACAGGTGCCTTTTAAATAGGAAAATCTAATTGTGGTCTTTGCCTCCGCCAGTATCACTTTCATTTTGAAAGTGTTGCCATAAATAATTCAAATGGATGGCATGCTTTCCACTTCTAAATAGCCACAGGCATGTAACTTACTCAGAGGATTTCTTTGGCTGTAAAAGTGAGACCTGCATCTGGTAAGAAGACTGTGTTGGAAAAAATATTCTCATTGCTTTTCATGTAGGATTGATGTTGTTTTAAAAATGGAAATTTTGATTCCTTGTCATGGTGAAAATAAATGCAGCCATAGAAACCAAAATCTTAAGGTTTCTGTGACACAGAACTGCCCACTTATTTTGGATTCAAATCTAGCCTACTTACCAGGCTGGACCACAGCTTAAAACAGGAACTATATGAAGGGAACTTTGTCATTAGACAGTGTAAAATTTTGACAGTAAAGCTTATTCCAGTGAAAGTTTACTCTTGTTTCCAAAACCTGAATTCTCTGTCCTGAATGTGAAATGCAGCAAATTAGAAGTGAGCAATGCTGAAAGAGTAGGTGGGGTGGTCCTCTTGATACAAGAAATGGAGATTCAGAGCATGATTGTGTTGCCTAAAAAAAAGATGCATAACTTGAGCGTTGTGAGTTAAGTTTTATTTGGGGCAAAATGAGGACTGGAGCCTGGGAGGCAGTACCTCAGATAGCTCTGAGAGATTGCTTCAAAGAGGCAGTGAGAGGAAGGTCAATATATAAAGTTTTGGTGAAGGCAGAGTTCAGTACCATTAAGTGCTCATTTTACAAAATTGTTCTGCTAGTCAGGAGGATCTCATGTCACCATGAAGGAACTGAGTGCTTTTCTAGATTTGAGGAGATGCAAGGATTGAGATCATAAAATCTGTTCCTGCAAACATCCAACTATCTAAAGACCTGTCCCGCCAGATTCCCTGGAGCTCAGAGTGCCTCACTCCACCTGAACTTGGTGGAGTGCCTCACTCCACCTCTCAGGCGGTGTTGAAGGTCAGCAGCTGCAGGGCTCAGTCTCTGCAGAGACAGATGGCAAAGGCCCCTGTTGCTCAGTCATTGACAGTGCAATTGGTAAGTGCCAGCTTGTAGTTGACAGTGGCAAGGGAGGAGAAGAATCATCAAGATGAAAGAAGCATGAACAACAGACATGATTCTTTTTTAAGGATAGGGATGGTTTTCCTACAAACCCAAATAGCCCTACTACCTGAGAACATGCAGTAGTGTTTGTTCTGGTAGTGCTGAGTGGTTGGTGTTTTCCAGAATAAGTGTAGACTTAACTGACCAAGTTTTTCCATACCCTGTTCTCTGATGGTTCTCTTAGTCTTGATTCCCAGGGTCTTTACTACCTGGATGTGCTTACCATATGCTAAACTATATGCAGAGGATGAGTTTCCAGAAAGTGTTGCAGGGTTTACTTTTATGTTAAAATCTTAAAGGTCACAGTATTTATTAATACATATTGTACTCTAAGAGTCTCCAGTTTGGAAGCAAATGGAGTCCTGAAAACCATATGATTCCAACTTGTGCTTGTAATTTATGTTTAGTAAGACTTAGCCAATTTGTTTGAAGATATCAATTTCAGAATATATTTAGTATTCCCGAAGGTATAGGTGGTTGGCCTGAACTTGGCTTGACCTTATGGCATTACTTAGAAGTTGATCCTTGGGGGAGAGGGGGTAGAAACCCTAGAGGTATGCTTATATGCTTGCCTTTCGTTTTCTTCCTAAAAATATGACATAGAAAACTGGTCTGGTTATTTGGGTTTTAGACAAGTATATTAAAACTTTAAAGAAGTTGAAGAATCTTATTTTTTAAGATTTTATCTCAATAAGGTCTTTTATGTTGTTTTCATAGATTATAAATCACACTGTTGGCTTCCCCGGTAGCTCAGTTGGTAAAGAATCTGCTTGCAATGCAGGAGACCCCAGTTTAATACCTGGGTCAGGAAGATGCCCTGGAGAAGGGATAGGCTACCCACTCCAGCTGGTGTCTCAGCTGTTAAAGAATCCACCTGCAGTGCGGGAGACCTGGGTTCAATCTCTGGATTGGGAAGATCATTCTGGCCTGGAGAATTCCATGAACTGCATAGTTCATGGGGTCACAAAGAGTCTGACACAACTGAGCGACTTTCACGCTCACTTTCTGCTTTATGAAAACAGTGTGTGGTCATGTACAAAGGATGCATTCCAAGTCAGTCAGGCAGAGTTCACATCCTGTAACAGGAAAAGAGTCAATTTTGACTCTTCCATGCTAGATCTGTTTCTTTGACTTTAACCCTTTTTTTTTTTTTTGCCACTTTTATTACTGTAATCATACATAATGGCCTGCCTCAGAGAATCCTGCCCCTCTGCCTGACTGTTAAGCTAAAGTGCCTTTGTTCAAAACCCTTTCTACCTGTTGATGGCAGGAAGAAATTGAAATTGACACATCCACCTGCCTGAGGCTTGCCATTTTCAGAGATACTTGCAAGATTAATGGCCTTTTTTACTTTGTTTCCTCGCCCCCACCCCAATCTCTGATCCATGAAAGAACTTGACATCCAGACCCCAACAAGCTGGTTATTTTGAGACATTAGTCTGCCATCTTCTTGGTCAGCTGGCTTTCCAGATAGTCGTATTCCTTGCCTCAACACCTGGTCTCTTGGACTCACTAGCTTCTCATGCAGTGAGAAGAGTGAGCTTGGATTCAGTAACAATGTCAGCTCCTCCCTCACTGGCTGTGTGACCTTGATCAAGTTACTTAACCTTTTTGAGGCTCTCTTTCTGTGTAAAAGAGGAAAAATCGTGCGCCCTTGACAGGGTTGTTCTGGGGGTTCAATGAAGTTGATGTGTAAATGAGATTCGGGGCATACAATGTGTAGGTATGTATGCTCTGCTTGTTCTCTTTCTGTTGGAAACAGAAAATTTTGGATTAGAAAATTGCTGCCTTAATTTTGATTCTCAGTTGCCTCTTGTGTAACACTGACAGTACCATTTGTTTGTTTGTTTATGGTTGATGTCTGAGTCCTAGGGAACATTGACTCAAAGTTCTAGTCACATCTGCTTGAAAGCGTTTAGCTCCCACTTCAGAATTAGAGGAACACTCGTGATGGTTGGCGCAATACATTTCCTCTGACTACTTCACCTGAATTCTAAAATTTTGCTCCAGCCTCTCTCCCTTGATAGAAACCTCTGGGGTAGGTTTGAAACTTTTTGTCTTGTAAGAATTAAGACTGAGTCCCTCAGTGGAGGCAGTCAGAGGGTCAGCTTAGAAATCACCTCCTTTATAGAAAGAGTGATCTCTCCTCCCAGAATACAATCAGTAGCTAAATATCTGTGAATTTTTCAAGGTCTTTTCATCTTATTGGTAGAAGTGCTTCCTGAAGCCAAATCTTAGGCCTCAAGATTCTCTAATTAGTCTCAATTGGTGAATCATCATCATTATGGGGGGGGGGGGCATAGTGGGAAAAGGAAGGTTAGTCCAGTATTTTTAAATGAAAGCAAAGTAAATGTGGGGAGCTCTCTGCAGATGAAGCCGAGAAGCCCTTTACTGTAAGTACTGTCAGCTTTGAGCTTCAGTTCTGTTTCCGTGGCAACCACAGGGTTGAAGCGTGCCTGGCTGAATGGTTTTACAGGAAGCTGAAAAACATTGCTATTCTAAGTAGCTTTCTTTTTTGCTGTAGAAAGGAGTCTCTCCCTGACTGTAGGCCAGCCAGCACTTACTGGGAACAAAGCAGGCTATTTATGCTTATTGTACTCTGGGTAGGGAGGAGACAGGGAGAGTCCCAGCCCCTGGCTGCTGACTCTGCTTGTTGTTTCTAGCATTTTGGAAGAACCAGATGACTTAATTCAGATATGATTTTCCTTTTCATTTTAAGCAGAACTTATATTTCAGAGGTAGAATTGCATTTAAAAAAAAAGTGGTGGTGGTGTGTGTCTGAGATAATGTTAGTTATGATGAAGTCAATATGCTGAATTTATAGCTTTGAAGTATCTATGAGCACAGTTTATTAAAAAAAAAGTGTCCCTTGTTAGCAATAGAAACAGGAAGATATTGGTTGAGTCAGTTATTAGGCTTATCCTTTATTATATATTAAAATTATCATTTGGGTTTTTTTTGCATCTTAAAGTTAACATTTTGATTTGTTTATGTAATAGAAAAATTACATGTGGTAGAATATGCCTTGAGAGTTCACCATGCAGTTCTCTTTGGCAGTTTATTACCGTTTCTTAGGAAAAAAATAAAAGCAAGGGTATTAATACAAGTCTATTAAAAGCCTGTATAATAATTTTAGTTTCAAATGTAAGCCACTTACTGGGCTTTCTTTCTGGAGCTCCTTCAAACCCTCTTTATAAGTAAGCTAGGGGAAAAAAAAAAAGTTTCTGCCTAACTACTCTTCAGTAGAGGGCACCTTTCAAAGCCGAACTCTGATAGTGAAAGCATTTGATGTCAACAGGAGCTGTGGACTTTTGTTCTCTCTCTCTCTTTCATATATACCCGCACACAGTTAAAATGACAGGAAATCCATAAATTCATCTTGTAGTTTTTTACTTCTGATATCCATCATGCCCTTATTTCTTTGATAAAGTATGATTCTTGTTCCAAAAAGCAGACATTTCAGAGGTAGAAATTTCAGAAGTTCTAAGATTTGACCCTGACTCTGTTTAGGTAAGTTGATGTTTGTTAGTTTTAACTAGGCTCTCACTGAGATCCAGGATGATTCTTTTGCATTTTTATCAGGTCTTGAAGATTTTCAATAAAATAGGCTTGGAAAATAGCTCAAGAGAACTTTTTGAACAGAACCCCTAGTCTTTGAGTGGCACCAAATGGCAAGTTTAATTGCAAACTGCTTGCCTTTGGATCCCCTCTACCAAATGGTTATGGTAGTAGAGTTCATGAGCAGTTTTTGATGAGATTTAATTTCTGAAAGAGTTTATGTGATCTAAGATGAGTATTCCAAGGTGTCTAGAGCCAAAATTTGATTACCGGGTATTTGCTGAATACCTCCTATAAGGAGCTAAGGATTTGATTGGTGTGGTCAAAGAGTTCATAGATTATCTTGACATGATCCATGGACTTTATACCACCAGGCTCCTCTTGTTGTAGCCACGCATCCTGGGTAACAGACTCACTCAGAAGGACAATGCCGATGGTGGAGTGCAGTTTATTACACCGGAGGGCTCAAGGCAGAGTCTCTTCTTAGCCAAGGACCCTGACCAGTTTTTCTGAAAACTTTATATAGCCTAAGTGTACGTGCCCAAACCCACCTCCCCAAATTCCCTGAAACTAGTCTGAACAAAGGAAAAGAAAGATATAATAAAAGTTAACCCGTGATTCATATGCCTTAAGCCTAGGTAGTTAACAGTGGACAGTTATCCATAAGCCTGTGGTCATACCCCAATAAGCATAATAGGATGTATGATTCTATTCGGTTACACAGATAATTAGGGTGTTCTTTCAGATGACAGAGAGTCTAGGTAACGAGCCCTGGGGCTCTTCCATCCAGGGGGCCTGGTTTTCCAGTTGGTATGTCGTTTCCATAGATACTGGGCATAGAGCTCAAAGTCCATAGTTGAGCCCAAGACAGAGTCCTGCTTTCAAGAGGGAGCCTGTTCTGTGTTTCCTCCTTCACTCTGTCTATGAAATTCTCCAGACAAGAATACTGGAGTGGGTTGCCATTTCCTTCTCCAGGGGATCTTCCCGACCCAGGGCTCGAACCCAGGTCTCCTGCATTGCGGGCAGACTCTTTACCCACTGAGCCACCAGGAAAGCCGCCGGAGAAAACTACCACTATACATCTGGGAACGAAGACTACCTTGCGTGATAATGAGTTGATAGGAACTCATAGAAGGAGTGTGAGATGGAGCCTCTAGGAGGGGCTTCCTGGAAGAAAAAGGAGTGAGGGCATTTCATTAATTCAGCAGAAATACATTGAACACATGCTCCATGTGCTAAGCTAGAAACCTATTAATAGTAATGACTAAGGCAATGAGCCTACCTGTGTGGAACTTGCACTCTGGTGAGAGGTTCAGACACAAAACCAGGCTAATGCCTCACTGTTAACATCTATATTGAAAAAGGTAGAGAGTTTTAAGGCAACACCTGGACTTGGAGGGCATGAAGATTTCATTGACATTTTCTTTGAAGCTGAAACTTGAACAGGAGGACATCCCAAATGGACATAGCTATTTACCCACTTATAATAGTGTTCCTTTTTTTTCTTCTCTCAGAGAAATACACTCAACTTTTCTAAAAGCACTGTCCTAAAATATAAATAAGCTTTTCTTAGAAACTAAAATGTTTAGACTATACTACTTTGTAGTAGGAAGTGATCTTAGAGAAATTCAGCCTGTTTTACCATCAGCTCCTTGGTAACTCTGGAAAGAGTAGGAAATACAAGATTTCCAGAGTGCTAGGGGGTCAGGAATCAGAGACCTTGAGTTCAGAACGTGAGTGTCCGGGGACAATGACATCTCTGTGTCCTCCACCTGTTTTCTTTGGAGGAAATGGTTTATTATGCTCCTCCTAATTCATGCAGAGTATTTTTATCAGACCTCACGCCTTTGTGTCTCTTTCTCTATCCTCTAACCGAGTCCAAATAGGGAAAGAAGAGAGAAAAAAAAAAGTGGCTGTTGCAATTTATTAAGTACTAGCACTGAAATTATGGCTGCCACCTCTTCACCCTGACCTCATTAATCTGTCTACTGAAGTATAGAAAAATTACTGTCTTTAAATGGCCCACATTCATTTGGAAGACTCAGATATGCTCCTGCAGATGCATTATTTCTCAGTTGGATGTTTCCCCATTAGATCCTGCTCATGGCTTTAATTTTGTACCTTAGCAGAAATACTACTTCACCTTCATCTGTGTAGCTTGCTTTCGTAAGCCACAGACCTTCCATTATTCGTGAGGAGCTTTTTGCATGGAAAAAAGAATTTAGAAGCAAGCTGTAAGAGGTCTTTCAAATGGATATGCTTTTCCTCATCCTTGTTAAGAATGACTTTGAGACATTATTCAAAGTATTGATAGGTTTTTCTTCTGAGTCAGATTTAGTGACATGGCCCATAACTGAATGTTAAATGCCAGTTTTAAAAATATATGATAAAAGGAAAAAACTGGCCACTGGAGTTAAAGAACAAGAAATATGTTTAAAAAATCATAAGATAATTAAGTGTCCGAACAAAAGAGATACTCTAAAGGTATTGACTGTTTTACAGAATGCGGTTTTTCATCAGGTTATTGCTTCTTTGCACTGCTTTATTCCTGGTGTAGGCAGGGTGGTGTTCTGTTACCGCCTTCTCACTGTGACGTTTTGAGTGATACTTACTCCTTCTCTTGTTCATCTCCACCACAGAAGGTTATGTGCTTCTTGTCTTTTGTTTATGCCTGGCATCCAGTAGGCACATGATTCATGTTAGAATGAATGTGCAATAGTAAATTAATGTGAGAGCTGTTTTAACTTACAACATTACCCTGGGCATTTTGTCTGATGTTTTATTTTGAAAAGTATCGACTGACTTTGGGGCACTACAGAGAACAATTAAATATGTGGTCCGACGTGCTTGTGAAATTTAAGTGTGGCCAAGTAATGACTGTATTACATGGGGACCTACTATTCACAAATATAATTTTGGCATACAATTAGATTGTTATGCTTGGAGTTCTATCTTTACATACATTATCTAAAAACATTGACATTTATAGGTATAGCTTACGTACATAAGCCAGTGCTTATTACATTTAAGTCAAATCTTTTCTTGTTTGTAGTTATTCTAGGTAGAAACATTTTTTAATATATGTATATAAACATTTATGCATATCTTACATGTCACATGTATACTATATATGGTTTATTTTATATGACATGAATCACATTTTTGTATGCAATTTCTGGGAGCTTAAGAGATCATACATTTGGGGGGCACTGATTTTTCACAAGTGAAGGGCATCAGTGGAAAGTTTCCAAGGTGTCAGCGATTTTTTTGGGGGGAATATATCTTATTTTATTGAACTTGTAGGAAAGCATGTGTTTTTTTGTTTTTTGTTTTATACTTAGGGAAAAGATTATCCATTAGGTTACATTTTAAAAAATATTGGAGGCCATGGATTAATGAACATGAAGAAATAACATGTACTGGCTAACTCCTTTCACATCCTATCACGCTTTGTCCTTAAAGATGAAACTGGTTTCTTGCCCATTTTACAGACAGAGAAACTGAGCCTCGGGCATCTTGTCTACCTGTGCAAGAGGGAGGAGGCAGTCACGCTTGGCCAGGCGGTCCTCTGCTTCCAGCGAAAGCTTACATTGAGCCTGCGCCTGGGCTGGGCCGACGCCTGTATTTTAAATAATGCCGTAAGCGTGTTATCCTGCACGGTGAAAGCACAAGCAGAACTGAAGTCTGTTCGTCTCCTTCTGTGCGTGTTAGCTTTGGTCCCCCTTTAATCACCCTTGTCAGCTCGCATCCGCCTGCCGCTGTCTGTTTCTAGTGCTTTAAGTTTACAGTTGACTTAGATACAGTGATGACGGCGCGCAACAGTCCATGTCCGTGTTGTGAAAGATGTGAACAGAGATTTGCGTTTTATTTGCATTTTTACATCAGCAGCAGAGAGACCGAAGTTCCCGTTCATTCCTTATGTGCTCATTGTCTGTGGGGTCCAAGTTTTTATATCACCTGTGTTCCTAGCATTTCTCTTCTAGTGACTGATCAGGCACAACTCCATGAAATGGTAACCAGTCCAGCTTAGAAAGACTGGTTTTTCTGAAAGACTGTATAGGTTGGATAGCTGCTTCCTGGTTTCCCAACCAGGAATGTCTGTTGTGCAGGCTGTGGGGCCCTGAGTGGGTCTCCCATTCTGTCTGCAGGCTCGTCGCGTTTCCCTCCCCGCTCATCCTCCCCACAATCACGGACTGTCATTTCACACCCTTTTTCCCTGCTCACATCTGCTGTACTTCCTCCCTCCTCCTGCCCCCGCCTCACTCTGAGCTGATGACTGCTTCAGTTTTCTAGGGAAGCAGGAAGCACACTCACCCCTACCCCACCGCAAGTCCCCACCTGGCAGGCTCCATCCGGTCCTTCCCTTCATTGTGCGGGGCTGACAGTGGCCACAGGCAGGCCGAGCCCTTCCACCTGCCTGCTGGTTTCCTCCCTTCTCACAAAGGGAGGCAGCTCTGGCAGTTCCCTTCCTTGCACCCCCATTTTTGTCCCACTAGATCGGTTCAGTAGCATAGGAACTTGTGTTATTTCTCTCACCTTGAAAATAAATCCTCTTAACCACGGACTCATTTCTTCCTTCTGCCACCTGCTCACCCCCTCTACTCCACTTTTTCAGCTGAAACTCCTTGAAAAACTTGCCTCCAGTTCTTTTCCTATCCTCTGCTAGTGGTCGTTCAGTCGCGTCTGACTCTGCGACCCCATGGACTGTATATAGCCTGCCAGGCTCCTCCGTCCATGGGTTTTCCCAGGCAAGAATACTAGAGTGGGTTGCTATTTCCTTCTGCATGGGATCTTCCTGACTCAGGGGTCAAACCCAGGTCTCCTGCATTGGCAGGTGGATTCTTTACTGTCTGATCCATCCTCTGTTAAAGGTGCTGCAATTAGACTTGCTCTTCAGCTACTGCACCAAAGCTAATTCTGATATTTAGGATCCCAGTGATCCCTGTGTCGGTGAATTGCACGGTCACTTCTCAGCCTGCATCTAACGTGGCACACACCCAGAACACTGACCTGGCTGATCGCTCCCCCTGCAGCAGTTTGTTTGGCATCCTGCAGACTGCAGACACTCGCTTCTCTTCCTGCCTCACTGACTGTTCCCTCTCGGTCTCCTGCACTGGTTCCGCTTCTTCACCCTGACTTGGTAAAGTTGCTGTGTTTCAGAGCTCCGGCTTCAGACCACTTCCCCGCGTGCGCTGCCATAACTGATCTCAGGATTTTAAATACCATTCAAGTGCTGGTGAGTCCCAACTATGTATGTCCAGGCTAGATCTCTCCCATGAAATTCAGATTTATGTCTGACTTTCCACCCAACAACCTCTGCTGTTTAATAGGCATTTCCCAGTTCATGTTCCCAGTCTGAATTTGTGAGCATCCTCTCTGCCACTAACCTTGCCCATGACCTTGCACTCTTCCCTTAGAGTTAACGGCAAGCCTATGCTTTTAGAGGCTCGAGCCCCAGACCGTGAGCCATCCTCGTCCCCTCGCAGGCCCCAGTATCCAAGGGGCAGTGAGACGCTTTCTCATCCCACTCACTCCTGCCACAGGCCCCTCTCACTGCCTGAGCAGCAGTGGCCCCCGCTGCTGGCTGTCTGTGCCAGTTGACAGCTTAGTCTGAGCGCAGTGTGATCCTGTTTCAAGGCAGGTCTTGCAGAGCTCTGCTCGGAAGCCTCCACGGTTTCACCTCCCACCCAGAGCGAAGCCCGTCCTGACCAGCCGGCCCCCCCCCCGCTGCCTCCCTCACGCTGCCGACCTCGTCTCCTGCAGCGCCTTCACGTGCTCTGTGCGTGTTCCCTGTGAACATGCCGAGGCTTTCCTCTCTCCTGGAACACTCGCCCACCCCACCTCCTTCCTAGATGTTTATGCGGCTTCTCTCTGACCTCTCTTAATACTTTGTTCAGATGTCACCTGTGCAGGGAAGCTGTTTATTGCAGCGCCCGCGCTGCGTGTTCATCATTCTGCTTGCTTGCTGTCTGTCTTTGTAGCACTTAACGTCTTTTGACATTGCATACGTTTACTCAGGAATTTTCTTTAACAATTCATGATTAGAGTATGGTTTTTTTTACAGTGTTGTGTTTCTGCTGTAGGACAAGCAGAATCAGCCGTGTGTATACAGTGTATCCCCCCCACCTTGGACCTCCCTCCCCTGCCCATCCCACCCTCCAGGTCATCACAGAGCCCCAAGCCGAGCCCCCTGTGCGAAACAGCAGCTTCCCACCAGCTATCTGTTTTACACACGATAGTGTATGTATGGGACCTAGGAAAAGTGTGCAGATGGGCTTCTGTATTTTTATCACACGTCAGCTCACACTGCTTCCTGAAGGCAAGGCTCTCTCTGTCGGTGCCCCCTCCCCTAATGTTTCTGTAGCGCCTCGTGTGGTGCCTGGCCCGTATGTTCTCAATACAAATTCGTTGAATGAATGGAAATGGGTTGTTTAACATTTTATGAGGTATGTCAGCATCCTGAGTATACCTTAATAAAATACAATTAGCCAAAATGCATGCTGGTTCATCTCAGTTTTATCATTTATATGACACCTATCATTTTTCGAGAATAGTGATAACTTATTTTAGGTAAATCTGAACCTAATTGCTAATTTATATGGTTTGCTTAACTGTTTAACCAAATGTGTATTTAATGGCTAGAAACTGAATTAAAAGAGTGCATACATCTTATGCAAACCATGTTTGGAAATCCGAACAAATATTGACAGGTGAAATCATTAAACAATTGATTAGGAAGAATTAAATAGGATTGCTCAGGGAGGGGGAATAAACTACCTTTTTGATGTATTTTATTCCCTAGACTTGTTACATACCTTTATTCCTCAAAATAGGCAACTTAATTATTTGGCATTTATTCTACTTAAATGCCAACTAATTCAGTATCAGATGAAATGTTTCCTTGTAAAATTAATTTACTTTTCAAACAGATATTCACACAGGTATATTTTAGAAAATTCAGTTGTCATATTTTGTAAATTGAGTACAAAAACTAATGAAATGTTCTTTAAAAAAATGGATGAAACTTTGGTAGATGTTTATTTGGCCAAGAAAGTAACACTCAGTTCAGTTCCATTTACGAACCATTTATTCATTATATGTGTGTAAAAAACAAAATAGTGGGAGATGTGAGCAATGTTGCTATTGTTCAGTGGCTAAGTCGCATCTGACCCTTGGGAGCCCCATGGACTGCAGCATGCCAGGATCCTCTGTCCACTATCTCCCAGAGTTTGCTCAAATTCGTGTCCATGGAGTCAGCAATGCTACCTAACCATCTCATCCTCTGCTGCCCCCTAAACTTCAGTCTTTCCAGCCTCAGGGTCTTTTCCAAGGAGTCAGCTCTTTGCTTCAGATGCCCAAAGTATTCCTTCCAATGAATCAGTCCTTCCAGCATCAGTCCTTCCAATGAATAGTCAGGGTTGATTTCCTTTAGGAGACATAAGTAGCTATGAAACAAGGTAGAATGTGATAAGAACCGTAAAAGCATATACACAAACTCTGGGATTCCGGGGTGGGGCTGCCCCACAGAGGCAAGTTTAACACAGATGTGGACGTGGAGGCCCGGTGTCGAACCGCTGCGCTTCTGTTCATTACCTGTGTGTGAGCAAGGTGCTCCCTGTAGAATGTTTTTTTTTCATTTGTAAATGAGGAGTGATGATGGTGTCAACCTGATGGTTATTGTAGGGGTTAATGAGATAACACATATACCATACAGAGAGACCATTCTGAGAGGTTAAGTGATGCCGAAGCTTTGTAAGCCCTGAACATAAGTGATGGTGGTGGAGGTGGGACGGGAGATGGCGTCTGTGACACCGCTCACCCCAGAGAGTTATTCTGTGCCTGAGAACTCAGTGCCAATAGGAACAGTTCATTTATCAGACATGTGTGAAGCCTCCACCGAAGCCAGAACTCTCCTAGACCTTAGGGAACAGTGAATAGGAAATGTCACTGCCTCCCTGGAGGTCACAGCACCAAAGGGTGTTCAGAAAGGTCACTTCAGGCAGAGAAATGACATGGGGGAAAATATACTGATAAGAGTCAGCACTGAAGTAGACATTACCCAAATGTCCTTTAACTGGTGAATGGATAAACAAAATGTGGTGTATCCATACAACCAGATGTTACTCACCTGTAGAAAGGAATGAAGTAATAATATGTGCTAATAAACATAATGAACCTTAAAAATGTGCTCAGTGACAGAAGATACTTGCAAAATGCTACATATTGTGTGACTCGATTTAGATAAAATGTCCAGAATAGGCAAATCCATACAGACAGAAAGCAGAATATAGGTTCTTGGGAGTGAGGAGATGCAAACCTGGGGAGTCGATGATAACTGGGCCGTGGGGGAGGATTCTTTTTAGATCATGACAGTGTTCTCACATTGTGGGGATGGTTGCAGGACTCTGAATGTGGTAAAAACCATTGGATTGTATGCTTTAAATGAGTGAATTGTATGGTTTGTGAATTATGCTTCAGTAAAGCTGTTTAACGAAAAAGAATCGCTGGGCTATACGGGTAGTGACCCTCGTGTCATCTTGGCGTGGCTGAGGAGCGCGTGTGCAGAGTCACGGGCTGCAGGCTCAGGCAGGGCCCGTCTTGTGAGCCCTGTGAAGGGTCATCGTCTCGTCAGGGAAGGAGGTCGGTGAGCCCTCTCAGTAGTGTGGGTACCGCAGGAAAGAGAGTGGGGCGCTAGAGAACCGTCACATCCCAGGTCACGCGTGAGTCCCTGGGCTGGTCGCCAAGTGTGGGTTCCTGGCTTCACAAAGCAAAGAATTCAGTAGCAAGCCATAATAAAGTGAAAGAAGGCTTATTCAGGAAAGAAACAGACTCCACAGAGTATGGGTCATCTCATAAGGCAAGATAGTCCCCAGGGTATGGGGTTGTCCGTTTTTATAGGAGTAGATACTTTCATAGGCTGATGAGTAGGGGGAGTATTCCAGCTCTTTTAGGGGAAGAGGTGGGTTTTCTGGGAATTCGGTCACCGCCCACTTTGACCTTTATGATCAGCCTTGGAGCTGTCATGGCACGTGTGGGTGTGCCGTTTAGCTTGCTGATGTGTTATAATGAGTGTATGATGGGGCTCAAGGTCTAGTGGAAGCTGACTCATGCACATCTTGGATCTACTTGATTCTAGTCAGTTTATGTTGTGTCCTGAGGCTATGTCATTCTTTTAAAGGTTGTGCCCCACCCCTGTCCTGTCTCATGGGGACCCCTGTAAGTGAAGTCGGTCAGTCGTGTCCGACTCTTTGTGACCCCGTGGACTGTAGCCCACCAGGCTCCTCCATCCATGGGATTCTCCAGCCAAGAATACTAGAGTGGGTTGCCATTTCCTTCTCCAGGGGATCTTCCCAACCCGAGGATCGAACCCAGGTCTCCCGCATTGTGGGCAGACGCTTTAACCTCTGAGCCACCAGGGAAGCCCAGGAACCCCTATACCATAGCTCAATTGGTAAAGAATCTGCCTGCAAGGCAGGAGACCTGGGTTTGATTCCTGGGTTGGGAAGATACCCAGGAGAAGGAAATGGCAACCCACTCCAGTATTCTTGCTTGGAGAATCCCATGGACAGAGGAGTCTGGCAGGCTACAGTCTATGGGGTTGCAGGAGTTGGACACGACTTAGCGACTAAACCGCCATGCCATAAGAGACTGCATATACCAACACGGTCTTCATTTATTTCCACGTCTGTGAGAACGGTGATGCCTGGAGCCAGGGGAGCAGTGGAGACGGGAATTAGAAAACCTGTTGCTGGACAATGGCCGGTGCCTGGGCAAGAAACACTGAGAGCCGAACCAAGGGGTAGGAAGGGAAATACTTGAGAGCCATGTAGGAAGGAAAAATGATGTGAGGGGTTGGTGATGAGGGAGGAAAGCATGAGCCCCAGGATTCTGGCATGGACAAAGGGTACATGTGACCACCCGCTGAGGGGAAGAGAAGCAGGTCTTACAGGAAAGGTGAAGAATGTTATTCTTCTATTATGAATGGCATGTTTGTGTCTCCCCAAAATTCATATATCTGAACTTAATCCCCACTGTTGATGCTGAAAGCTTGGTGAAGTTGATGCAGAAAGCTGAGCCTCTGCACGCCAGTGCCAAATTGAATCTCAGAGACAGAGTTTTAGGTAAAGTAGAAAAGAATGGCTTTATTGCTTTGCCAGGCAAAGGGGGCCACAGCAGGCTCCTGCCCTGAAAAACTATGAATCCTCACCTAGGATGATTTGATGGAGAGTTTTATAGCAAGGGTAGGGTGGCTGATTAGGGTGTGTGCAGGGCCTCAGTTCAGTTCAGTCACTCAGTTCAGTTCCGTTCAGTCACTCAGTCATGTCCGACTCTTTGCGACCCCATGAATCGCAGCACGCCAGGCCTCCCTATCCATCACCAACTCCTGGAGTTTACTCAAACTCAGGTCCACCGAGTTGGTGATGCCATCCAGTCATCTCATCCTCTGTCGTCCCCTTCTCCTCCTGCCCCCAGTCCCTCCCAGCATCAGGGTCTTTTCCAGTGAGTCAACTCTTCGCATGAGGTGGCCAAAGTATTGGAGTTTCAGCTTCAGCATCAGTCCTTCCAATGAACACCCAGGACTGATCTCCTTTAGGATGGACTGGTTGGATCTCCTTGCAGTCCAAGGGACCCTCAAGAGTCTTCTCCAACACAACAGTTAAAAAGCATCAATTCTTCAGCACTCAGCTTTCTTCACAGTCCAACTCTCACATCCATACATGACCAGTTGCTCAGTCCTGTCCAGATCTTTCTGAACCCATGGACTGCAGCATGCCATGCTTCCCTGTCCACCACCAACTCCCGGAGCTTGTTCAAACTCATCCAACCATCTCATCCTCTGTTGCCCCCTTCTCCTCCTACCTAAATTCTTTCCTGGCATCAGGGTCTTTTCTAAGGAGTCAGTTCTTCGCATCAGGTGGCCAAAGTATTGGAGCTTCAGCTTCAGCATCAGTCCTTCCAATGAATATTCCAGTTCTGATTTCCTTTAGGATGGACTGGTGGGATCTCCCTGCTGTGCACGGGGCTCTCAAGAGTCTTCTCTAGCACCACAGTTTGAAAGCATTAGTTCTTCAGCACTCAGTCTTCTTTATGATCCAAGTCTCACATCCATACATGATCAGTGAAAAAACCATAACTTTGACTAGATGGACCTTTGTTGATAAAATAATGTCTCTGCTTTTTAACATGCTGTCTAGTTGGTCATAGCTTTTCTTCCAAGGAGCAAGTGTCTTTTAATTTCATGGCTGCAGTCACCATCTGCAGTGATTTTGGAACCCAAAAATAAAGTTTGTCACTGTTTCCACCTTTTCCTCCATCTATTTGGTATAAAGTGATGGGACCGGATACCATGACCTTAGTTTTCTCAGTGTTGGGTTTTAAGCCACCTTTTTCACTCTCCTCTTTCACTTTCATCAAGAGGCTCTTTAGTTCCTCTTCCTATTCTGCCATTAGAGTGGTATCATTGCATATCTGAGGTTGTTGATATTTCTTCTGGCAGTTTTGATTCCAGCTTGTGCTTCATCCAACCTGGCATTTTGCATAATGTACTCTGCATATAAGTTAAATAAGCAGGGTGACAATATACAGCCTTGTTGGTCTCCTTTCCCAATTTGGAACCAGTCCCTTGTTCCATGTCTGGTTCTAACTGTTGCTTCTTGACCTGCATACAGATTTCTCAGGAGGCAGATAAGGTGGTCTGGTATTCCCATCTGTTTAAGAATTTTCCAGTTTGTTATGATCCACACAGTCAAAGGCTTTGGCATAGTCAATAAAGCAGATGTTTTTCTGGAATTTTTCTTGCTTTTTCTGTGATCCAGTGGATGTTGGCAATTTGATCTCTGCTTCCTCTGCCTTTTCTAAATCCAGCTTGAACATCTGAAAGTTCTTGATTCACATACTGTTGAAGCCTAGCTTGGAGAATTTTGAGCATTACTTTGCTAGCATGTGAGATGAGTGCAACTGTGTGGTAGTTTGAGTATTCTCAAGCAGCATCATTTTTCAGGATTTGAAATAGCTCAGCTGGAATTCCATCACCTCCACTAGCTTGTTTGTAGTGATGCTTCATAAGGCCCACTTGACTTTGCACTTTAGGATGTCTGGCTGTAGGTAAGTGATCACACTGTCGTGGGTATCTGGGCCATTAAGACCTTTTTTGTATAGTTTTTCTGTGTATTCTTGCCACCTCTTTTTAGTATCTTCTGCTTCTGTTATATCCATACCGTTTCTGTCCTTTATTGTGCCATCTTTGCATGAAAGATTCTCTTTGTGTCTCTAATTTTCTTGAAGAGATCTCTAGTCTTTCCCATTCTATTGTTTTCCTGTATTTCTTGGCTATTTCTTTGCTATTTCTGTTTCTTTCCTTTATTTTAGATAGTGTAGCAAGAAGTGGAGATGTCACTTTGCTGATAAAGTTCAGGCAGTCAAAGCTATGCTGTTTCCTGTAGTCATGTACGGGTGTGAGAGTTGGGTTGTGAAGAAGGTTGAGTGCTGAAGAATTGACGCTTTCAAACTGTGGTTTTGGAGAAGACTCTTGAGAGTCCCTTGCACGGCACGGAGATCAAACCAGTCAGTCCTAAAGGAAATCAACCCTGAATATTTTTGGAAGGACTGATGCTGAAGCTGAACCTCCAATACTTTGGCCACCTGATGTGAAGAACTGATTTATTTGAAAAGACCCTGATGCTGGGGAAGATTGATGGCAAATGGAGAACGGGGTGACGGAGGATGAGATGGTTGGACGGCATCACTGACCCGATGGGCATGAGTTTGAGCAAACTCCGGGAGATGGTGAAGGACAGTGAATCGTAGCATGCTGCAGTCCACAGGGTCGCAAAGTGTCGGACACGTCTGAGCGAATGAACAATGGCAGTCGCCCTGATGAGCCTCTCTGGTCACTTTCACTTGGCCGCAGGTGGCTTTTTGGATGCTCCTTCCTTGACTAGCAGCTGCTCAAATCTGCCCTTTGAAATCTGCAACCTCCAGGTCATGGAGGCTGCATTCTGTTCTGTACAAACAAGAAAATGAGAGACAGAAAGTCTTCCATTTCCAGGACCCCCATGGGATTCTGCTTGGCTTCAGTGTGAGGGTGCTGGAGGTGGGCCTGTGGGCGATCAGTAGCGTTGGGTGAAGTCGTTAGGGAGCAGCGCCCGCGAAAGGATTGGCACCCTTGTGAGAAGATCAGCAGAGAGCTGCGTCCTCCCGTGTCGTCCCCGCAGCCCACCATGTCAGGAAACCGGCAGGAGGGTTCTCACCAGAGCCCTTCCACGCTGCACCCTGGTCTCAGACTTCCAGCCTCCAGAACTGTGGAAATAAGCTTCCGTCATTGAAGCTGCCTTGTCTGTGGTCATTTCTTACCAAACCGACTAAAGCACTGCTGCCCGGGCTCGTTTCAGTGAGATGCAGAAGACACATCTTGCTTGATGAGAATTGGAGCGACTGGAGCTGTGTCCGTGTCTGTTCCACTTAGCTGTGTCTAGCTCACTGTCTTCTCTCTCGAGCATTTTTATTTTAAACTCTGCAATGAAAAAAAATTTTTTTTCCAAATAAAAATCTAAGTAGTGATCAGAAAGACAAGGAATTCTTGAGATTGCACAACTTTTCCAAGTACTAGAAACGTTATTAAACTTTATTACTTTTTAAAAGCTTTGTATTATTATTGGGAGAGATGTACTCTTTGAAAAAGAAATCGTAAACATCTGATCACCCCAAAACAGGTGAAAGTAGAACCTGTTTGCATCCAAAATCCTGGAAGGTGGTTCTTCTTGTCACCGCTTGGATGAATGGATGAATGTGCTCCCTGGGGTGGGTCGAGTTCTTTGGAATCTGAAACGTATACTGTGTGGGGGAGGGGTGAAAAAAGAATGTGAAGTTAAGACTGTTTAAGTGTAGGGCCTCGGAAGGGCCCTCATTAGCTTTATGGCAAGTTTTCCTCTGATCCCAGTGATGGTGGCAGAGATGTGTATTAACACATTGTACTTACATGCCTGGCGCTCATTCCGAGAGGTGTTCGTACGTCAATCCTCATGATAGCCTAAGGCACTGTACCAGAGATACAGAGGGGTCACACCCGGGATGACATGGCTGGGATGTGGAGCTGCTAGGAGAGAGGAAGTGTAGACAGTAGACTGGGAACAGAGAGCTCCTGTTAATGGGAAGCCTGGAATACATCACTGAGCCGCCTCTGGCTGCTTTCACTTTGCCAGTGAAACAGGAATGTTGATGCCAGCTATGAGCCCCTCATTTTATTGTTCTGAGGTCAGGAGACAGTGTGAGGTCAGGAAAGTGCTTTGTGAAGAGTAAAATGTTTGGAGATAGTTTTTCATTCCGACTCACTATTATAGGTGAGGCTTGAAAATATATTTAAATTTTGTTGACTTTTATTGCACTTCTCATGTTTCTAATTCACTTCGTGGACATGATTTTTGTTTTTTTTAGGTTACATGTCTGCAAGACTTTTTTGGTGATGATGATGTGTTTATTGCATGTGGACCTGAAAAATTCCGTTACGCGCAAGATGACTTTGTCCTGGATCACAGTGGTAAGGCAATCAATTCAGTGACCATCTTTGTGACCCTCAAGTGGAGGCTTAGGTTTCTCACTTGGTGCATGCTAAGTGGCTTGATTGTCGAAGAAAGAATTAATGAAGAGTTAATTTACTTAGGTCACCATCTACTCTCCCTCTTAGAGTTAATTTCTTTAAATTAATAAAAGTAGAAAATACAGTGAGGTAGTTAGAAGGAAACAGCAACCCACTCCATCCAGTATTCTTGCCTAGAAAATCCCATGGACGGAGGAGCTTGGTGCAGGCTACTGTCCATGGGGTCACAGAGAGTCAAGAGTTACCTACTTGCAAAAAGCAAAAAACCCTAATTCCAAGTAGTTAAATATTTTTTTGGTTTTTTTTGCAAGTTGGTTTCTTCTTTTTTTTTACTGGATTGTTACACTTTGGAATTGATTCCTACGTTCTTCCAGAATGGTGCCTTGGCTAGGCCACCTTAAAATATGGATAGTACTGAACCTGAAAACAGTTCATTATACATTTCTCATGTCCATGAAGAGATATGTAAAAGAATAATAATTTGTTAGTAGTGATTACTTCAGATTTGTTTGCTCTGTTTCCATCTTTTTAAAAAATAACATGAATTATTATATATGCAGAAATAATAAAGCTACTTTCATTGATAGGATAAGAAAATCCCTTTCTCTTAATTTTAGCCAAAAAATGGAGTTTTCAACTGTTGAGCAGTAACCTCAGTGATTTCAGATGTTATTGATTTTGGGAATATTGCTCTACTCTGTTATCTGAAATCTAAACTGATTAGGGTATTAGTGATTATTAGCTGATAGTGAAGTCAGCTTCATCTTTAAATAAGATGGAATCATACAGACATAACATTTCACAGAGAAGAGAGATGCTAGAGGTTTCAATCCCACTCTTTAATTTCATGAATGAGGAAAGATGGCTTTTCAAAAATTAGGCTAATCATAAACCCCTTCCAGTTGTAGTGACTCGACGGTCCAGAATTAGAGAAACATATTGCCAAATAAATATGGTGACCCATAAACTTTTAAAACTTCAAGATGATGCATGCTGTGGTGTCAGACTTCCCTGTGTGATTCTTTCCTGTTGTACTGTGTCAGTTTTCTGGGGGTGACTCATCTACTGAGTGTGGGGCTCCTTTATCTCCTCTTCTTGGTTTTCCACTTTGTTTTTTCTCCACAGGTGCCAAATTTCTGAGGGTTTCTGTAGCATCTTATGTCTAGCCCTGCTTTAGATTAGTAATGCCACCAGAAAGACCTTAAAGAGTTCGCGATATTATCTGTTAATACTCTCACCTATTCTTGTGGGTTTACTGAAAAATGTGAATTTACACATCATCTCTATTTTACATCTTTTTTGACTGTAGCTTAATTTCATTTCATAATATTTCTTTGTCAATGTTTATTATTTTGAAAGTTGAGACATTGAAACTCAGTGTATTTCAGGTTGTAAAGTTAATTTGGGTGGCAATAACAGCAATTAACATTTATTGAGCACTTACTATGTATATACCAGGCATTGTACTCAGTGCTTTATACGTATGTTGTTAATTTACCTGCAATATTTGAATCATTCATGGTTTTTTGTTGTTTTGGCTAGCAGTGAACTCCCATAATCAGAGAGAGGTGAAAGTTACTGATTTCTTCCCTCTTGATCTCTAATTACTTAACCTTCTGCAAACTGGGGATAATAATAGGGGGTTTTTCATAAAATTTTGTGAGGGTTAAATGAATTAATATGTGTAAAACAGTTGGAAGGGTGCCCATTACATCGTATGTGCTGTTACTGTTGTTTTAATGTTATTATTATATCCATTACCATTAGGTCATAAAATTTTACTATGAAAACAAGTCTCAGACCTAATTCTGCCACAAGTGCCTTTATTAGGAGTAATGTCAAAAACTCAGCCTCTGTGCACTGGTGCCGAATCAAATCTCAGAGACATAGTTTTGGGTGAAATAGAAAAGAATAGTTTTATTGCTTTGCTAGGCAGAGGGGGACACAGTGGGCTCCTGCCTCTCAAAACTGCGTGTCCCAACCCTGGAGAATTTGCTGAGGGGTTTTACAGCAGTTGTGCAACTGTGAGGTGTGTGCACAACCTGCAGGCCTCTGACCTGTTCTCAGTTGGTCGTCTGATGAGTGTTTCTGGTTCCTAAAGGTGGTCTTCTCTGGAGTGAAGATTGCTGATACCTTCCGTTTACTGGGGGTTTGTTCTGTAAAGAGCTCGGAGACGCTGTTATGTGTACCCCAGGGCCCTGCCCCAAGCCTGCACCGTTGTTTCTGCACCTTGTCTCTTCCTTGCCTTCCTTCCCTGACTAGCAACTGTTGGAACCCGCCCTTTGGAGCTCAGGGAAGGTCATGGAGGCTGGAGTCTGTTCCCTCCAAGAAATGGGGGACAGGGAAAGGCTTCCATGCCCAGGAGCTTCCACAGGGTCCTGGTTGGGTTCAGGAGGCAAAGATTAAAAAACAAACAAGCAAAATCTGTTTAACTTGTAATCTTGATGAGTCCCAACTCTGTCCTTTTATATTTCTGACAACATCTTGCATTAAAAGAATCATTCAAAATTCATAGAATTTCGCTAATCTAGTCTTAGGGCGAAATCCTGTGTTAATGAGCTGGGTGCGGGGCTTGCTCAGATTCCTAAACCTTGGGTTGGTTCTGGTTATTAGCTCTCTAGGGTTACACATCCTGCTCCTGAAAGAGTCGCAGTGCCTTTAGGAAGATTCTAACTAATCCACACACCACTCCTTTCAACACTGGAATACTTTCTAACATCTATAATGCTCATTAACTAAACTGCTGTTGCTTCAGCCCCCATGGAGTAAGATTTTGATCAGAGTCTTTCAGATGCTAACTAGCCTCCCCTGGTGTGTATTTTGCTGATTAGTGTACTTCACTTGTTAATTTATTGTCCTTGGGGGTATAGATTAAAACCAACCCATATTTTAATCTTTCTGCAAAATTGAAGTATTTTAATGTGAGTTTGACAATATGTTATATAATTTAGTCCTTATAACAAGCCTGTTAAACAGATTTAGTCTCATCCCAATTTCACAGGGAGAGAAAACAGACTTAGGCCTAAGCTAAGTGCACCAGTTAGCAAAGTCACACCCATGATTCATCCCAAATCTGCATGACTCCAAAACCCAGATTCTTAATTATTTGAATTGGAAGTGATTATTTTGGCTGTGTAATTAGTTCTGGTACTCTGCGTGCCGATTTGTGCTTCCCTGGTAGCTCAGCTGGTAAAGAATCTGCCTGCAATGCAGCAGGGAGACCTGAGTTCAATCCCTGGGTTGGGAAGATCCCCTGGAGAAGGGAGAGGCTACCCACTCAAGTATTCTGTCCTGGAGAATTCCATGGGCTGTATAGTCCATGGGGTCGCAAAGAGTCAGAGATGACTGAGCGACTTTCACTTTCACATGCTGATTTATTTGGCAGATTATGGAAAGAACAAAGCTATTGCTTATTTAAAGCTAGTTCCCTCATTTTTGATGCTTTGTACTTTGGGCAGATGGAAAATAAGCCAGTAAGGGGTTCATAAATTAGAATCCTATATCCTTTCCAATTAAGATTATCTGAATTGGAGAGAACTCTTTATCATAGCCTTTGCCTATCAATGCTGTTGATCAATAATAAGTTGCACATGTGGAGATTATGCTGTGTGTATGAATCAAGTTTTCTTGATTGAGTACTTACTATATGTGGATTTCTGGATTAAAAACTCCATCTGGAACAATGAGGTGAATGACAAAGTCTGATGCCTAATTTAAGAAAATCTCAGGTGTGCTTTTGAGACAGATGCTTTGTATATAAAAGTCATTTAACAGTAATAAGATGATCAGGCACTAAAGATCAGGTTCTAGGCACTAAACTACTGGAATGTGATCTCTCTTTAGTTAGAATGAAAACTGGATCTCTTTAAAGCGCTTTCCTTTCTTTCTAGAGTGCCGTGTCTTGAAGTCATCTTATTCTCGCTCCTCAGCTGTTAAATATTCCGGATCCAAGAGCCCTGGGCCTTCTCGACGCAGCAAATCACCAGCTTCAGGTAGTTATGGGGAAGGAAGCGCGCAGTCACAAATGGAGCAGAGCATTCTTCGGTTTTCTTTAGTGTGAATTAGTAGTCTTGCCCATCCTTGTCTGTAGCCAGGTTCCAACAAAACATATAGATGGCATGATTTTTAGATCCAGAATTTTAACTCTGTTTTTCCAAGCTATAATAAGTGTCCTAAGATACTTGTTTTGTTCTGACACATTTTCTCAAGAGCAGTCTTATCTAGACTCTTTTCCTGGTACCTACATAGAAGTGTTCCACGTTTTGACCACTGTGTCTGCATTTAAAATTTTTGCTATATGATTGTGGATATTTTCTTCTGTTATTGGTTTAAAGCATAAGCCAACACACCCACCTAGCAAAACTATTTGCTTGATAAGTTTCCACAGGCTTTTCCTTTGTTAAGCAATTCAGTCGTAGCAACAATTATTGTTGGAAGTAATACTGCTTATTTCAGAGTCAGACTTACCTCTGCATTTCTTTCAGACCCTAAACCTATAGATTTGTCCTAATTTTGACATTTTTGAAAAATTAAAATGTCCCCCAAATCTTGATATTTTGACGCTATAAGGCTCGCTTATAGTGTGCTAATATTGTTTCCCATGAAGGAAAGGATTGTGAGAAAACATGATTTTTCATGCGAGGAATCTATAACATGTGAAAGTAACATGAGTAAACACTGTCTGAAGCCTCAGCCTATCTATAAAGTAGTGAGTTGGGGTTCCTGCTGCCTCGTCCTCGGCACCGACCCCGCTTTGCTCAGGTGGGTGGTTTGCCCCCTTTCTGTGTACACGTTTGGACCTGCCGAATAACAGCTCTCCTTACTTCTCCTCCTTTGTTGGTACTGAACGTGTACAGTAAAGAGGGGTGGCCACTACTCCAGCGCCTACACCACGGCCAAATCCCCAGGTGAGCCAGGAGAATTACGGCTTTGTCGCTCTGCTGGGTTTTCTGTTTTTGTCTTCTGCCACTTTTTCTGTTTCCTTTTGCTCCATTTCCATGACTGTATCTGGCTTGTACCAGTGGACATCTGTGCTCTAGCAAGTGCTGCATGCTTCGGCTCCCGGGCTCTTAGCCAGGCGCCTGCGGGAGGCAGCCCCTCGTGCAGTCTGTGTGCAGTCACGGTGCACGGTGATGGAGGAGGCGCAGTGCTTCGAGGGGTCTGTCTTCTAGTTACTGAAAAAGGCTAAGGGGTGTCGGTAATACGAAAATGGCCATAGAAGCAATTATACTCTCCTTCCTTCTTCGTCACTCTGGGGTTAATAGGTCCAATATTCTCTCTCTAAAAATACTGGCAATATGAATATTTTTAACTGAAAGCATCTCTCTGATGTTAAGGTTATTTCAGATCATATTTTGCTTTCTGTGAAGTACTGGGTTGGCCCCAAAATTTGTTTTTTAAGATGGAATGGAAAAATACAAATGAACTTTGGGACCAATCTAATATTTCAAATGCTGGGAAAGCTAATGTGAAATTTGCATGAATACACTTCACTGGGTTTACTATATGGTAGATGTAGACTTTTGTCAGGTTCTTAGCTTTTGTTTTAGTGATAAGTTTACAGATGCTTATCATATAACTAAAATAACTAAATAAAAGTGGAGAGAGTGGTTCAGAGATCACATATTATGATTAATTTTGGTTACCTGACGTCTTAAGAGGGAAATTAATTAAAAACATGTTTCATAGCCATACTTGTCTTGTGGACCAACTGCTTCACAGAATAGTCTAATAAATGTATAAATCTTCTTAACTAGAATTTGAGATGCTTAAATAAAGTGGTTCAAGAAAATCTTAACGTTTCACTACCTCAGATTTTCAACTGAGTCCATATTTGGATTTGGGTTAATAAAGTTTATCTTAAACTTACAAGTAAAAGTTGTGAGATGTAAACCATATCTCAGTGGTTAAATGACTTCTCTAAAAGAGATTGTTATTAAAAGCCACAGACTGCAGATGGATAACTTGCTTTTGCAGGCTACTTTTGCTGTAGTGTACGTGTTACCGTTTAGAACGTTCCATGGGACTCCCTGGAATTTCAAACAGAGCAATAACTTTGTAAACATAATCTTGTGCTTTTTCATTCTTGGGACAGAAGTGCCCCCATCATTGAAGTCTTCTGATTGACTAAATCCCTCCATAAAACTAAAATTTATCAAAATAGCTAAATAGTATGTAATAAGTACATAGACATTAATCCAGGTAACACAGTGGGAAAAGGCAAAGTGAAAGTCTCTCAGTCGTGTCCCAGTCTTTGCGACCCCATGGGCTATCCAGTCCATGGAATTCTCCAGGCCAGAATACTGGAGTGGGTTAGCCTTTCCCTTCTCCAAGGGATCTTCCCAACCCCGGGGTCAAACCCAGGTCTCCCGCATTGCAGGCAGATTCTTTACCAGCTGAGCTATGATAGTCACCATAATTTGAGTATTACCTTACAGTTGAGGGAAGGGTGGATAAAAGCCTTATTTGGGGGAAAGAAAATCCAGGGTATACCGAAGGAGAGGGAGCATCACAGAGTTGCTGGTCGTTGTCCACCCTCCCGTTGGGGCAGCGGTGTCAGGGGAGAGAGCCCAAGGTGACTCTGTCCCAGCTTCCAGTTACCTTCCCAGAAATGGAGAAATGTGCAAAAAGAAAAAAAGACATTAAGAACTTCTCACTAAACAGCATTTTTTTTTTAAGCCTTTCAAATACTATCAGAAACTCAGAGGGTTGTCTATGGCTTAGTAGCTCTAGGATGGGAGTTATTTAAGGGTTATTTAAGGGTATGAACACGTATACCAGTTCAGTCCCTGCCAGTGAGTTTTGCTAAGAAATTATGTTTAGGCAGGAGGTGTGTTTTTAGGGATATTGGTTGGCCACAGGGATTGCCATTTGCAAGGACCAATTTTTCTTCTTTAGTCCCTTTTCCATCACTGCTCCAAGGAAATCTTTGATTGCAAAGTGGTTTCTGAGGTTCAGTGAAAGGTAACAGCACTTGGGAAGGAGGACCTGAACAGGGAGTTGTGTTGCATGAAGAAGAAAAGGAGCCAGACTCAGTATCTGCTCCTAGCAAGCTCACTAGTTGATTGCTCTTTTCTATATTAGTTCCTACCACCAGTTCCCTTTAAGAGAGAATTTTTAAAAGAAACAGCATGAATTGAAGTGTAACTTTATTGAAAAATAAGCAGGACTGTTGAATACGCTAAAAAGTTTCTAATTGATTGTACAGTTACTTGTGTTGTACTTATGCTATAAATACCCACATACGCTTGTTCAGAAAATCTAGATAACTGATAATGGTTTATGAATGAGTGGTTTTAAACTAGAAAAGTTAAAGTTTGGTAATTGAAAAATAATTGTAAAATTTTTGCCTCTTTGCTGAATTTTTACAGTGAGCCATACAATAAGCAAACATGAATGATTCATCTGATCACAAATATGCTTATTGATTCAGAATTCTGCCTCCTTTCAAGGACTGGTGCTCAGTTTTTTGAGGTCACCTTTTCAGGAGTTTTGCATTTTGCTTTTTATACTTAATAGCATCATTTAAAATAACAGTTGTCTGCTCCCTCATATTAAAAAGATTTTTTAAAAAGGAAACGGACTTTGCTTGTCTTTCCATACAGACGAATGGCAGTTTTCATCTACTTGGGGCAAAGGCATTGAAAATTAATGATAAAAGGGGTTAAAATAACTCCCTAGAAAAGGAAAAACAATAACCAGTACCAGATGTTAACTAATAGCTTTGTGAAATTACAACAGAAAGTGGATCCTATTGGTATAATTAGGAATAAGCCCGAGTCCTGCTGAGATGTGTGACTAGCAGTGTATGTGTAGGATCTGCAAGCTCACCCTTTCTTGGAAGCCGCCACGGCCATACTTTTCTTCACCTAATCTCTAAACTGAGCTTTCAACCTAGGAAGTGTATGGAAGTTTAGAGGAGGGTGTCAGAAAAACCCACCAAGATTTGCTAAATAATGGGAAAATTAAGAAGACAAGAAAGTGGAAGGAATTAGAAATAGCTAGTCCAGATAAAAAGAAATTGGAAGAGTGCCTTTTATGACCTTTAAACAAAGAAGTGGGTATTACAGGGGAAATGATCAGTAATTTTCTTTTTCCATTAAGAATATTCTTAGGAAATGTGTTAGAATTATTGGGGAGTTGATCTGGGAGAGACAGAGAAATGCCTCAGTGATTCAGGTCATGTGGACAGCTTATAGAACAGCCTTCAGTGTAAACAGTTACAAATGTAGCAGCCACGCATTTCTCTACCCTTGCTGGCATGCAGGATTTACAGACTAGCTCCTGTTCACATCTCTAACTCCATAACGTTTTATATATTTGTTCATGTTACCACTGGAAAACTATTATTGAAAATCTAGTTCCACTGCTTATTTGTCAGATACTTTGTCTGTAATGCAGTAGGACACATTATTTTTGCTTTTTGCTGATTTGCCATCTGCTTTGAGCTTTCGGTGAATCGAGGCTCCGATGGAGCTGTGTGGGCCATGTGCTTATAGTGTTTGTGCCCAGTCTGGTGGCTCTGGGTTCTGATGACCTCTGTCTCCTTTGTTGTCTCATGGTCAGTTAATGGAACTCCCAGCAGCCAGCTTTCCACTCCTAAATCGACGAAATCCTCCAGCTCCTCTCCAACCAGCCCAGGAAGTTTCAGAGGATTAAAGGTATGAAATAGGATCTGTGCCATATTCGTGTGATTCTGTTATGTTGCATAATTTAGTAGTTAATTTGTTCAGGGACTTGGGTGCAGTAACAAATCAAAAAGGAAAGAGGTTAGGATTTGGAGCCAGGAAGACTTGACTTTGGATCCTGTATCCTTTTTTTATCTCGTAATTTGGGTCAATTTACCTAACTCTTCTGAGCTAAAGTGTTCCCGTCTCTTAAATGGGAATATAAAATTGTGGTTAGGGTTGAACATGATGTGGTTTTATATCAATAAACAGTAGTTTTCCTATTATAATCAGAATAATTTGCAATGGCAAAGCTTTGGAGATTGATATTTTTTTAGAAATCTCATTTAGAAACCATGATTCTTTTTAGAAATCTCATGTAAAAGTCATGATTTTAATATTGTTACCATAATTCGACTATGTGAAAGTCTAAAATAGAGTGCAGTTCTAGTATAATACTTATATACAGTAGTAACACAAGAAAAAATATGTTCATTTTGGTGAACAACTTAGAAAAGTCTTAGGTTTGGCTTGATGTCCTGAAAATATGAACAGTAATTTAACATGATTAAGCAGTTGGTTTAATGTGCATTTTATCTAGTAGAGAAGAAGAATGATGAGTGAAACCAAATTGGCAGAATTTCAACAAGTTTAACTTGACTTAGTAGCTTTCAGTAGTTTAAATTTTTGAGTAAATTTGCCTGATAAAATAGCAGTACATTTTTTTAATTGAAAGATAATTGCTTTACAGAATTTTGTTGTTTTCTATCAAACGTCAAATGCATGAGCCATAGGTATACACATGACCCCTCCCTCTTGAACCTCCCCACCATGTTCTTCCCCATCCCACCCTTCCAGACTGATACAGAGCCCCTGTTTGAGTTCCCTGAGTCATATAGAAAATTCCCGTTGGCTGTCTATTTTACTTATGGTAATGTAAGTCTCCATGTTACTCTCTCCTATAGCTCACCCTCTCCTCCCCTCTCCCCGACCCTGTGTTTCTAAGTCTGTTCTCTTTTTCTCCATTGATGACCTGCAGATAAATTAATCAATACCATCTTTCTGGATTCCTTACATATGCACTAGTATATGATATTTATCTTTCTCTTTCTGACTTACTCTTGGAGTGTTTAGTTAACATTGGAAGTATCTTCATGACACATACATTCTCTAAAGTTGGTGGCCCAAACATTTCAGGTATCATCCAGGTGGTTTTCTTTCCGTTAAGGATGTTGGAAAACATTTTCACTGGTGAAGTGAAAGATAAAAGTCCCAGCGTGCCTTGTGAGTTCCGGGCGGGAGCCTGCTGGGCTGGCAGGGCAGTCGGCCTGCGGGTTCTGCTTGTCTGCAGGGCTGTGTTCTCCATCCGACACTCAGGCATGCTGGTCGGGTCCTGGGAACGCTGTGTCTACCTCCAGAGGGAACTTGCTATATTCTTGTCTAAGTGCCTGACATCAATAACAGAAATTTCCTAGAAAAGGACATATCATCTGGTTTTATGCCTGCTTGCTTATGTATGTTGGCAGAATGTGGAGGGACCAATAGTCAGTTTGGCATTTGGGGCGCAGAGCTCTAGGTAACCTCTAAGTGCTGGAAGTTCCTGATCTTTATCAAAAGAACTGGCCATTTTCTGAAGTGCTAAATTGACTTAGGTCAGTGCCTAATATGATTTCAATGGAATTCTTAAATGTCAACTCCAAAAGAAAAGCTGTATCAATTAAAAATCGCTAATGTAATTATTTTCAGCTTTTCTTTCCCAACTTCCTTTCCCCAGAATAGATTAGAGGTGCTCTGTGTTTTTAATCCAGGTAACTTTCAAGAAAACTGAAGTAAAAATCAAGTCGATTTACCTTGTTTCCAGTTTCGATTGTTTTATCCTTTATTAAAGCAAAAGCAGGCGATTCCTAGTGCTGGTGATTGTCAGCCTAGGCAGACCCAGACGAAGCTTTCCAGTGGTCCACCTGCAAGGCTCTCCTGCATTTCTCCCCCGGCTCTTGCTGGAGGCAGCACTGCTGTGATCCTTGGCCTCTGGTTGTCTCTGGCCATCCCAGAAGGTACCTCAGACTGTGCTCACCTGGGTCTTAATCATTTCCCCCTTTTCTATTATCCATTGGTGATGTGGGCTCTTGTCTGTCTTCCTAGCCTGTCTTCAGCTCTTAGCCCACAATTGTTCTTTCCTGTGGATGCCACCAGGTCAGCTGATGCTGCTCTGCTCTGATACAGACTCATTCTTTTACACATGTGCATATACTTGGAGGAGATCACTCACAGATGCAGGAATCTGAAGTGAAGAGTTGGGTTTCTTTTTTAATAGTACGGTTGAACTTTAAAAAAATTATTTATTTTTGGCTCTATCAGGTTTCAGTTGCAGCACTTAGGATCTTCACTGTGGCACGTGTGTGCCTGCTAAGTCACTTCAGTCGTGTCTGACTCTTTGCAGCCCACGAGGCTCCTCTGTCCCTGGAATTTTCCAGGCAAGAATACTGGAGTGGGTTGCCATGACTTCCTCCAGGGGATCTTCCTGTTCCAGGGATCAGACTCGAATCGCTTGTGTCTCCTGCATTGGCAGGCAAGTTCTTTATCACTAGTGCCACCTGGGAAACTTCTCTGTGGTATGCAGGCTCTCTAACTGTGATGTACAGGTGGGCACTGGGGCTCAAACCCATGTGCCCTGCATTACAAGGCGGCTTCTCAACCCCTGGGCCACCAGGCAAGTCCTCCAGTGGGATTTTTAAGACATGCTAATGAGGTTTAATAAGATTGCAGAGACATTAGGTAAAATCATTCTCAACTACAATAGATATATCTTAGTATTTAGAGTAACCTCAGAATTTAGCACACACGGTTTCATGGTAAGTGCTCATGGATCATTTATTGATGCAAAAAGAGATGAAGAAAGTTACAGGAAATGCTGATTCCTAGTCAAGATTGAAGTTGAAATCACTGGTAAAATAAAGGGTAACAGTCCTTTCATGACCTCCCACCTCTTCCTTTCTCCTCCAGCACACCTGAGGCTTGGCTGACAGCTGCGAGACCTCCTCTGGGCTTTCTTTAGGTCATCTGTAAAATAAGAACATTTGACTTTAGATGACTCCTACAGTGCTAAGATTGTAGTTCTTGTAAGTTGCCCAAAAACCTGTCTAGGAAGCTGGGGAATCCATTTCTCTTCCTCTCACTCAAGCTGATATAGACTCACTGAATCTTACGGTAAATATTCAAAGCTAAACAAGTCTCTGCTCACCCGTCAGCTGTTCGGACATGAAGCTAAGCCTGTTCCCAGGGGCCATACTTTGTGGGCATTCATTGCCCGCAGATTCCCCGCGGGCGTGGTGTGTGTCGTCCTTGGCAGGAAAACTTGCCTTTGAAATCCTGCAGCTTAGTTGTGCTTCTTACTGTACAAAATACCCTCATTTTGATGTCCCTGTAAAGCTCTAGTCGGCATCTGTCCACGTTTGCATTATTTTCCTCTATTAAGTGACATTACACATGGAGAACCGCGGATAATTATATGTGTTAGTGCTAGGCTTTTTCCTTCCCTTCATTTAAAACAGCTCATTAAGATCCATTAAGAGGGGCTGTCTGACCGTGGAGGGCCGTTCTTCACGGGCAGCAGCTCTTTACCCCAACTTATCCTACTTAGATGCTTTTATGGCTTTGTGGGTAGTCTTTTTACAGAGAACTGACAAAAGCAGACAAACCAGGCCGGTACAGCACGGCAGGAGTTGCCACTCCTGCGTGTCCCCCAGGACGCAGCTTTCAGCACATGGCCGCCTCCCCGCCCCTGCCCCCGTCTTGGTTTTACTTAATAGTGGGTTTAGCAGAGTTAAGGCAGAGGTGAGCAGAATCTGATATTCTGTCACAATCCCCCACCCCACTCCTTGTGGCAGTTTCTGGGAACCATTCTGGTGTTTGGGTGGAGACACTAAAATAATTAAAAATGAAAAATAGTGACATTATGATGATCAATCTCTGACTCCAGGGCGGCAGTGGTGTTTTTATTTGCTCCTTGAAAAACATGGGGATTCAGAAGCAGCTCCCCCTCTCCCGCAAAATGCCCTCATTGTTTTCTGGGTAATACTCCTGTGAGGAAGACAACTCCACTCCATTCAGTGCTCACAGAAGGTCAGGCTCTCTCAGGGGCTGGGCCAAAGGCAGGAGAGAAACAAAGCTTTCCTCAAATTGTGTTTTTTGCAAGTTGGGAGTGTTAAGAAACAGGGTGGCGACCAAGTCATTAAGGTTCTTTAAACCTAAAACTGAAGGATGTTAGGACAACTGAGAGTTACTTGTTCCTCAGTTATAACTTGCTGGTTTTGCTAGATAGTCCCCTAAAATCATAGAGTGTGGAAACCGCAAGTGACCCCAGATATTTTAGTTCGTCTTCATCTTATAGGTGGAGAATCTGACGGAGATATAAAGTCAGTTGCTCAAGTCTGGGTGGCTGGTTGGGATCTCTGACCCTCTCAAGCGCTTCATCTCTAACCTTTGACCTTCCCCGTCCCCCGCGGGTCTGCTTCCATGACCCCAACACAGGCGCCCCTTGGAAAGTTGTGCTGCATAGGTCTTTTAGGAGGGGAAGTGCCTGGGCTTAGATGCTCTGAATAAAACTGGGTTGTGAGATTGGGGAAGGGACAGGGAGAGGGGAGGGTTGAGAAAAGGGATCCTGGGCTCTGGGAGAGGTTGGGTGAAGGGAGGAGGAAGGTGGAGGAGAAGGCCTGTTGTCGGCCTTCCTGGGAGACCGGTGGAAGAGATTGTTCATTGTAATTCTTTTCAAGGGAAGTGGTTACACTGTGTGACCAGCAGTTCTGCCTGACCCCCTAAGGCTTAGTGGGATGACAAAGTCTGCAGTAGGTTAGGGTTACTGGTTTCCTTTGGAAGCCAGCAGTGGAGCTGAGTGTGGTCAAGATCCGCACAGGATGGAAACGGATGTCGTGATCCTGGCCCAGCAGGCACAGGCCCCGGGCATGGGATGATGTTCCCCGGTGGTCCTGTGACCA